TTTGATGTCTTTTAAATGTTTTGTATATTTGTTTCAGTAAAGGTGATTTTATTACAAAGTTTTTCATGAATGTTATTATGGTAGATATTTATTTAATGTGGTAATTATTATTATTATTATTCTTTATGCTTGAATTTTCATTAGGGGCCTCGGGGCACTGTTAGTTTTGGCTTTGCCACTAACAACAGAAAGGCTCCTGTGTGTTTACAGACAGTGTGTCCCCTGATGAAGTGCTGCTCTGTAGACACACAACTTTATTTAATTTTCTTTTAATTATATTTATATATTTTTTTGAGTAAATTTATATTATTACTTGTTTATAAGATTTGAATTTGGTTTTAGCTGCCTTGTGCGCTGTTCCAATTTGAATTTGAATTAATGTAGTTATGTTTATTTTGGTTACCTCCTGTTTTATTTATTTCAATTAAGATTTGAATTTATGTTTGGATTTAAGATTCTAATAATCTCAAACTGAAAACACAATGAATATGCTGCTTAAAACATTTTTGTACAAAAGCAATTTAAGAAATTAAGTAATTGTTCACCCTCACTTTATTTCAAAATTCTATGATTGCTGATTATGACAGATCTCTTTTAAAGTACCGTATTTTTCAACAAAAGCGCCGCACATCGATAAAAATGAAATTTTTTTAAAAAAAATTATAATAAGCACCGCTCCGGCGCTAGACTGCGCATATAAGCATCCTTATAAAAAAGACCTTTATATTACCAATTAGAACATCTGTATAATAAGAAATTAAATATTTTTATACATTTCATTAAGTAAAGTTTTAATTTCTAAATTATAATAACAAATTTCTTTTTCAGCATAAAAAAACAACAAAAAAAGTTCTCTTTCAGCAACAAAAAAACACTAAAACGATATAAAATAAAGTTGTTCGTACCAGTTGGCACCACGCCAAAAAAAACAAAAAAAAACAGAACAGCAAAAAAATATTTATATGCTCAGTAGCTGAATTAACGCTGAACTGATTACAGAAATCCGTAAAACAAGTAGACAAAAAAAAATCAGCTATATTCTTTTTATTTGGAATTTTATTTTGAAGTAACTTATTTTATTTTTTCTTTTAAAAATAAAAAAGAAGCTTGAAGAAAAAAAAAAATCTGTGTCAAAGGAAACATCTGTTTCTAAAGCAGTTTAAAATAAAGTGAGAAGTAAAAACACCTGCATTTCCAATGAAAAAAATAAAGAAATGCAAGTTGGAAAAAACGGATCAATCAATCTTGACAGCTGTGCTTGTGCTTTACTGGTTTGTCCCCACATTTCCCTCCTCTGTTTGACCATAAATTGGCCACACCCAGTTGACATTGAAACTACCATTAGTTAATTTTTTTTTGTTAATAGTTAGCTTGTTTTTTTTTTCTTGTCATTAGTTGTTTGCTTGTTTTTTTTTATCGTTATTAGTTTGCTTGTTTTTTGTTGTTATTCATTGTTAGTTTCTTAGCATTAATTGTTACTTTTTCGTTTTAGTTCCTTGTTAGTAAATATAGTAATATTTGAATGTAATTGAATTATAGTAATATTTGGGCGCCATACTGGAATTTCCGAAAGAGATCCGAAGTGGGGCATTTCGCCAGTCCCGTGAGTGTCGGATTTAGGGTCCTATTAGGTACTTCCATTTCTGTTCGCTCCAATTACAATTGCCAAGGCGCTAAGTACATTTCCAGCTTGTGATTTTTCTATAAGCTGGGGGTACAAGATACATACCTTTTAAATTTTCTCCTTAATGCGATGTTTTTTTAAAAATTATTATTTCGTTAATTTATTTTCTTACAGGCTGCTGCTGAAAGTTTGCTAAGAATTGGCAATGTTCTGCAGCACATCGCAATATGGGCGAATATTTCGTCGACTTCATTATAAATTTTTTTTTAACAGTCTTTCTCTGAGAAAATTATTTAATCTTAAATCATTTCCTTGACAAATTTTTTTTGCTACTAAAAATATTTCGTCGGAAGCGCCGCATGTAGGAAAAAAACAAAAAATTTTTAGATAGCGCCGCGGCGCTTTCACTGAAAAATACGGTAATAGGAAAAAAATATCGGTAATTAATAACAACAAAACTTTCTCCCACAAAACTTTTTACTCATTTGCAGAAATTAATAAATAAATGCATGACCCCCGATTTCATCACCATAAAAATTTAATAACGTAAAATTGAGATTTTTTTTCTTCACAAAATGAAAAGGGGAATCTTACTAATAAGGCTAAGTCTGAATCATGTATACAATTGGAGGACAATCCGTTAATTAGAATTATCAAATCACCATATTCATGATCATCATTATATAAAATATAATGGGTCAAAAAAATAAATAAATCTTTCGATACCATACAAGAATTCTTTTAAGATTCGCATTGGTATTCATAAAAAGCAAAAACTAGGCACACACAAATATAAAAAAAGAAAAGGCAAAAATCAGGGCAAAATATTCCTTAGAAATTCTTAAAAAAATTATTTTATTCATCATTTGAAATAAATATCAAATAAAATTTTTTACAAATCTTTAAAGATTTTAAATTCTAGAAAATTAAATAAAAAATCTAAAATAAATGTTGGTACAAACAATATTTGAAACACAAATTTTATATTATTCATTATAGTGAAAAATACATGATTTTTTTAAATTTAGTCTACTGAAGTTTTAGTAATTTTTAAAAATCTTTTGAATCAAATAAAAGTAAATGTTAAAATGAATTAAAAAATATGATCCCAAGACAACTCACCTCAACATGAAGATTTGGACCAAATATACATTCAATAATTTTATTTTCTATAAGCCAGTTAGCTAAAGAACTTCCAATATTTTCAGCATCACTTAAGCTTTCATTTTGACAAAGTTCATTAAACATGTTGATATGGTTCTGTAAAAAAGACTATAATTAGAAAATATAAAAAGTTTTTATAAATTAGTAACGAAAAAATAGCTTAATATTAGAAGCATTTATAAAATTCTTTAACAAAAATATTGGTTATTTTACTTTTTTCGAGAGATGTCTAAAAATTCCAGACAGTCTAAACACATACAAAAAAAACAAAGAATTATGAAAAATTTAGCATAAAAGAAAAAAGGTGTAACACTACTTTCTATTTCATAACATATCGGCCCCTATAAACCTTGAATTCTTGCAGACCCTTGCTTGCAGGTATCCTGAATTCTCTGAACCCCCAATGAAGTGTACAACAGTTTTCATAAAAACAGGGATGATTGTTAGCCCAACCCAAATATCCGTAAAATTTTCTTGAGTAAAATCAATAATGACGCATTTCAAAAAAATTTATGTATTTATAAATTTAAATCATTGATATTTTCAAAACATGAAATTTTAAATAAATTATATGCAGCATTATTTAAATGAAAAATTATGTTTAAGTTTACTTTCATCTCTAATCACATTTACTATTCTACCAGAAAAAATATTTACAAATGAAAGAAATGCCAAGTATAAATTCTAGTTCTAATACTTTTAAATAAAATATACAAGAATTTCTATACATAAATGTGATCGATGGTTTCTTGAAACTTTAACAAAAAATCTGGACTTTTTCTGGAGCACAATCATCTCCATTTAACTTTGTATAACTTAATTAAAAATCTTCAATTACTTTTAATATTTTTTTGGAGGAATAATTCTAGGGCCCTCTCCACTTGTTCTAAAACTTTTATAAAGTGTGCAACAGTTTTCATAAAAAAAAAATGCACAAAAATGCTGAATTTCTATTTTCTGTATAACTTAATTAAAATTCCTCAAATACTTTCAATTTTTTATTTTCTAGGAATAATTCTTGGGCCCTCTCCACTTGTTCTAAAACTTTTTGATTTCATGAATATTAAAAAAAAAAAAAAAATACTGTTAGGGACATCACTTATACAAATGTCATAGATGGAAATTAGTTTACATAGTTAATGAATTATTTTTTTTAAAAAAAGTTTTTTAATTCTTATTCAAAAGATTATAAAAATTTCAAAAACATTCAAGTTTCAAAGATTGAAACTTTTAATATTTCTGAAAAACACAAATTCATTTGTTGCGGATGAAGCATTTAGTGTAACGGATGTAAACTCCATGAATTTTGAATTAGGGATTAGTTTTCACAAAATGGAAACCATATGTAAAAGATTACAAAAAGAAAGTGAATTATAACTAAGAACAAATTATTTTATGAACTGTAATGCCTGGTTTAGCCGAAAGAGGGAGCTAGGGAAAACTTCACCCACGATCCTCTCGGGTTTTTCTCTAGAACGTTTTGTTTTTTTGAAGATGTAGTAAAAAGCAATGTTTGTCTTTTATTAGTGTTGTGTTTATATTTTTTATATTAATTAAAATGTTTAAAATAACATACTGAGCTAGCGTGGTTTATTATAGAACAAATTTGATAAGGAAGAGAAAAATGTATTAACACAGTTTTGAGTAAAACAAATACTTCTTATACACTTCTTTTAACAAAGAAATGTCTAGTAAGTACTTCGTTTTTCGATCTTGCTTGCGATTAAATAAGTAATAAATATTCATCATAATCATTAATGGCTCGGCAGCCCAGGGTGGGTCTTGGGATTCTCAAAAAATTTTTTTACATGAGAACCTTTTTTCTGCTAACATTTTCCAGTAATAAATATTACTCACTGTTAAATTTAGGACTGTTTCAAAGAATAATATATCCCATAAATATCACAATTTTTACAATAATAATAAAATAATAGTAAATAGTTTTCTTTCTTTAAAGTCAAAATCTTATAGTTTGTAAAAAATTTTAGAACAAAAAATTTTGTTAACTTATATAGTCTTTAATTTTTTACTAAAGATAAAACTATGTACTTCCTGTCACTCTGAAGCTTTTCTGTTGCCAGACTTGAATATTTAATCAACATCATGGGTAGAATCAGTGGTATTATAGTCGGTTCTAACATCAAATACTTATTACAGTCAACTATATGCTCTAATGAGGTGAAAGGGTAGGTTGGATAACAAAATCAGGGTGGCCACTCAAATCAGGTTTCAGATTTCCCTGATTTATCCAGATATAAATCTTAAAATTTTCAAATCAGTCAGTAATTTTTTCTCATTAAGTGTAGGATGGGTACCAGAAAAATGTCAATATTATTAAGTATTTTACTAAAAATGTTAGTTTTTAATATATTATCTTAAAAAAACAGTTAGAATATATATATCCTAATTATACTATTACTGTGGTTGAATGAATTGCGAAAACATTGAATGGAGCGAGAAAGGAACACTTTTTGCACAGTTCGTGGCAAAAACCGACATAATAATAAAATAATTTGGAAAAGGGAACATTAAGGAAATTTTAAAAATACCCAATGAAAAATGCACCTTTAAGGGGCTTTTAAAAAACTTTAAAAAATGCGCCTTTAAGTATTTTTTAAAGACGCTACGCACTCCGTTATCTTAAAATGTGTTTTTATATAGGGAGAAGAGTTAGAAACAGAATACATACATTAATTTGAGCAATCCCAGCAAGTCTCATGGTCAAAGTGCAGCAGTTAAAATACTTGAAAGCAAGGTCCATGCCTTCCTTGTCAAAAGAAGTATGGTTATCCAGAGGATCCTTCACTGTAGCCCACATAAATTCAAATAAATTACGTTTGCCAGCTGCTCTTAAATGACTATCTTTGATTTGACATAAATATCTGTAAAAATAATAGTGTGAAAAGTATTTTTACATATTGGGCAGCAAAGGCAATAATCATAGTAAGATAAAAACATAAAATATCTGGGCACACAATTCAAAAGTATCTGCAAGCTCATAATATTTTTGATAATAGAATATAGTGTTTTCATTACAGAAAAAAAAATGGGAGAGAATTTCTCACCCTTTCTCAAAAACAGGGTGAGATTTCAAAAAGTTAAGTGAGATTTCTAAAAATTAAAAAAACCCGAATAGACTTTTAAAAAAAATATTTGTTTAGTTACAATAAATTTTTAACATCTTCTGATTTCTAAACCATTGAACATTGAATATTTTTGCTGCATTATCATATGGAAAATGTTCTGTATCTACTTCTTCATTAGCTTTTCTCATTAGGTTTGCTCAAATGCTTACCAATCGATCTGTTACGATATTTTGTTTTAATTCGGTTTGGGGGCTAAATAACCTTGCAACAGATGCTGAACTATTCGGAATCACTAATTAAATTTGTAGCATTGTGCACACACTTTCCTGTCCTCTACATATGCCAGCATAGGTTCTTCACTTATTTCTGTTATGGAATAGTGAAGTTCGTTGAAGTTATTTCCATGTTCATACTCTTTGTCAGGTCTTCCAGATTAGTTTTCACAGACTTAAACTTTTACAAATTGCTCTAAATTGTCGATGAGGGAGTTTGGTAATTCATTAACAGCGAAAACTAGAGATAACTTTAAACAACTTACTATAAAGAACTCACTTTTTTTCTCAACACTTGCCGTAGCTGTTTTCATGTCTTTTTCAAAATAGCGGAAGACTAAATTTTTTCCAAAATTTGAGAGATTCGTGCATTTTAAAATTGATAAATTCAGTGCGCGAACGTCTCGCGTTAATCATTTTTTAATGCGGGAAAAGAAAAAAATATGCGAGATTCTCGCGTTCTCGCGCTGTAGTGAAAACACTGGAATAATTTTAATAAATGTATGTAAACAGTTAACTATTTCATATTTTTATTTATTTATATTTATACATAAAATATATACATTTATACATGCAAATTAATATTAGTAGTTATACATAGAACTACATTCATATAAAGTAATTATCATAATAAGTAATATTAGTAATTTTGCTCCAAACGAAAAAACATTAAAAGATTTCCAAATGTCACTCAAATTGTCTATTTTTGTTGTAAAGCGATAGTCAAGTTGAGTAGTACAAAATTGTAATATCGACTGCTAATGGTTGCAGGCTTGACTGCTAATCCTTGGACTAAAGTGGCAATTACATCTTTGGAAAAAGCATGCATACAACTGAACGCAGACTTTCTTCTACCTTGCATAAATCAGTGTCATATTCCCTTCCGCTGCAAACTTTCTTTTGAGTATGCGGATACTTTTTTTTTAATATTACAATTAATAGTAAAAAAGTATTTGCAAAATTGGGGAATCACCACCAATATATCCATGCACGTCACGTCTATATCTAACCATGGCAGTAATAAAACTCAGAGAATAGTAAAATAACATTAACATATAGAAAAAGAAATTTCTTTTAATTTGACAACATACAATTATAGTAGTTGACCAAAGATATTAGAGAGAAACACTGTGAACAGCTCGGAAACGTATCTTTTAAACGTTATCTTTAAAATAATTTTTAGTAACCACAGTATAAATAAATACAAATGTGTGCTAACAACAGATTGTAGTGAAAAACAAGGACTTTTTTCAGAGGAAAAAAAGATATTTTATGAGGTATATTTTTTTTATGCTGTTTAGCTTGAAATAGTAAAAACTGGGCAATCCTGATCGTGGCAGCAAAAAAAAATTCTGTTTTAGCCTTGTAAATTATTATACTCTCTATTGATTATGTTATCATTCACTCAAAAAACTTCAGAAAATTCTGTGAAATTCACTGAAAAATCACATGTCTTGCATATAGTTTTTTAGATCCAGAAGGATGATAAGAAAAACCTGAAATACAATCATCCCTGAATTAAGACAAAAAAAATTTATAGACAATATTGCTTTAAACATTACAGTAGGATTGCATTAAAATTTTAAAGAAAAAGTACATTTATGTGCATTCAAAGAGGGTTATCTAATCTTCGCAATGTCTATGTACAAAACAATGTGAAAAACATAAATGAAAATTTATATATTTATTTCGCTTACTTGGCACCGAAAATGCAAGTATTTCGTAATCTAAATTGGAAACATTACAGTTATCTACAATAATAATTCATTTCGATAGATTGTCTTAAGTAATACTTTAAGTATTGTTAAATAACTAGTTATACATTAGCTATTTCTTTAAATTCATTTTGTGATAGTTTAAGTAGAGTTAAAAATTTAATTACATGTTAAGTATTTATTTAGAATAATTAGGTATTTTTATAGAAATAAAAACTTTGCTATGAAGTAATTATTTAGAATCATTTTTTATCTTCCATAAAAAATTACAGTAGAAATTTTTTAAACATAATAACTGCAAACTGACATACCAATTATTGATGGAGCTTGCCTTTTTTGAGCAGTAGCATATTTATACAGGGTGCGTAGCCAAATCTTTCAACAGAAAGTAAGCACCTTTTAAGTGCTTTTAAAGCACCCAAAGAATATTTTTAAGTATTACATACATTAACAAAATACAAAATGAGTTTCAAAGATTTTACATGATCATGATATAATAACTAGTTTCAGACGAAGAACTATTTTTTGATTATATTAGCCATTATAAAATGATCAAGAGATTTTTTGGTTCAATATCAGAGGGTGGAAAAAGCCTGAAATTGAGAATATCTTGCAAAATGCAGCAGAGTTGCACATGAGAGTGCAATAATCTCACCTAACCCAACTTAGTAGATGCACAAGCGGACTTGCAAGTATTTCATCAAACATGTAAAATGATCGGCGCTTTCATACGCTAACGACCGACCGTATGCTGAAATGGATTGTGGCTGAATGAATGGTGAAAACGTTTAATAGTAGTACAATGTGAAAAGCACGATTTTGCATAACACTTGCCGAAAATCGACATGGCAAAGAAAAAAAAAATCTCCTTTTGGAAAAGGAGGAAATTACACTTTTTAAAAATAGTCACTGAAAAAAGCACCTTTAAGGGCTTTTAAAAAACGAATATCAAAAACAAGATTTTTAATAGACAGATTTTTAATTATTAAAAAATTCAATACTCAGAGAATTTCGGCGATATCACAGTTAAAACTGTAACCAAAGTACTTCCACCCAGGCAACAGCTAACTGGGATTAACATTAAAAAATTTTAACATTGTAAAATATTATATTACTCATAACAGAATAAGATAAATAAATAAACATCTGGAACATAGACAATTAAAATATATATATTACCGTATCACTCCTGAACGAGCTAGCATTAGAGGTTGCATTATGGTGCCTATGTTCATCCACAGCTTTAACTATAAGAAAGAGACAAATCAAATTATTGGTCTATTATGAAAAATAAAACATTTTCCTATTGGAATGTTCTTTAAATCCAAATTTTAATAACATCTCATCTAAAAGTTTTTACTCAATGACAGTGAAAATGAGCTTGGTAAAAAGTTTCTGAAACAATGCTGGCATTTCAATAAGAGTCTATTATTGATTGCACTAGAAAACATTTAAGCTGAAAAATTTCATACGTAAATAGATCTTTTTAATGTTATTTCTAACAACATTGTGGTGTGCAATCACAACAAACATCATTGTAATGTTGTGATATCACAAAATTTAACAGTTAAAAAATAAGTTTTCCTAAAGTAAGAGATGCGCACTCTTTGAAAGTGAGGAACACATTTTTCTATCACAGTTACTTTTGTTTCAAACATAACTTCAGGGCGCAAAGCTAAATCTTTTAACAAAAAATAAGCACCTCTTTTATGTACTTTTCAAGCACTGACTAAACATTTTTAAGCACTATACACATTAACAAAATGCAAAATAATTTTCAAAGACTTTATATGATAATAATAAAATAATTAGTTCCTGACAAGGAACTTTTTTCTTGATTATATTAGCCATTATAAAATGATCAAGAGTTTTTTTTGGTTCGATATCAAAGGGTGGAAAATGAAGCCTGAAATTGACAATATCTTGCAAAATGCAGCAGAGTGGCACATGAGAGTGCAATAATCTCAATTAACCCAGCTCAATAGATTCACATGCGGACTTCAAAGTATTTCACCAAACATGCAAAATGATTGGAGTTTTCATATGCTATGGACCGACGGTATGCCGAAATGGATTGAAGTTGAATGAATGGTGAAAACTTTGAATAGATCAATATGAAAAGCACGCTTTTGCATATTACAGGGGCAATTGTGAGCCCAAGTCAAAATTCCGAAAAATTTCTTGAGTTAAAAAAAAAAGAAAAAAACAGTTTAAATTGAAAAAAATTTAAACAAGGTTTTTTTTCCTTTTTCTCAATATTTCTTAGTTTACTTAAAATATATTTAAAATTTTACACATACCTATGATGACCTGGAGAATTAATTAAAATTTATAAATATGTCTTTCTTTCTTAAGTTAACCTGATTATAATAACTATTTACTTATAAAAAATGAATATTAATCATGAATATAAGCTTATAAAGTATCTCTCTGGCTCTCCCTTACAAACAAATAAAATAAACTGTGTTTTTAAGCTCCACCTTTGAAAATTTGATTTCCAGAAACTTCTGTGATCAATGATTTTTTTAAATCAATGATTTTTTTGATCAATGATTTTTCGATCTCCGAAAATTTCCGGATAACTGTTAGCGAAAAATCCAGAAATCCGGATTCTTTCCGGAGCACAATCGGCCCTGATATTACGCAGTGAAAATCTTCATGGGGAAAAAATATAATTTTCGAAAATGTAATATTAAGCACTTCTTAAAAACTCCCAATATAAAAAAAGCACCTTTAAGGACTTTTAAAAAACAAAAATAAGCACCTTAAAGCACTTTCTACACACCATGAACTTAGCATCTAATTTAAATAAAGGCTCTGATAAATTAATACACCATATAATAAGAGAATAATAATACTAATACTTTCATAACAACTACTTTTTCAGCAAAGTAGCACTACTTTTTTAGCAATGTAACAAAATAATCTACAGATTTAAATTAAAGGTTAAATAATAAAAAACTAATAATAAAAAATTTAGCTGCAATGAAAAACAAGTACAAGGTACAATGTATAATTATTAATATTTTTTTTCTATCATTATTATTGTTTGGAGATCACTGCACTTAAATTATAATATAGATTTAACGAGAGCTGAAATTATAATGTTTGAACACGCTTCTTCTCGCCCCCCTCCAAACAAAAAAAGCTACATCATAATAAATGCATGATTATTGTCAGGTAATTATTTTGTTTGCTACTTGCTTTGATGATATGTACAAAATTCTGATAAATATAAAACATTTTCAAACATGAAACCTTTTAATAAATTTTATTTTAACCCACTGACGGTTCTGCACATCAAAAGTCGCATTTTAACCTGCAGTCTTCTCTGCATAGCAAAACCGGTTTTCCCATGTTAATGGATAGGGGAACTGTGTGTAGGGGAGAAACATTCTCCCAATTTTGCCCATTTCCTTAACCGCAAGTGGGTTAAGAGAGCTAGTGCAGAAAAAAATCACACTATAAAATATCACAGTTATCTTTCAGTAACTTCTGAGTTTAATCGTTAATTTTTATTAATTAATTTATAAATTTCAGAAATTGATAAATTATTTTTCCAAGGAGTATCCAAGGAGTCCAAAAATTTAAAGACATCAAAAATTAAAAAACTTCGTGCAAAAGATAACTAGACAGTTTTTTTAAAATTAAAAAGCAGTTATTATAAGAAACTCACAAAAATGTATAGTTTGCATATTGTTATAAATGTTGAAATAAATGTTGACTTTGTCAAACTTTATCAAGAAAAATAAATAAAGTTATCACTTTTACACATAAATACATTTTCCAGTTTCAAATATTTTAATATATCTTGTTTAAGTACAGATGTTAAAGATTAACATAAAAACCTACCAATCTTATATTTTTAAATTTCAATACATAAGAAAATCTAAGGCATTTTATACCCAAAAAAAAAGTCACAGTAAATTATTAATTAAATTTGCTTGTAACAAGTAAAATTAAATTATTTGCTGTTATTTTTTTCTTCTAACTCTTGCAATTCAATTTTTTTTCCTTTAAAGTTTTTCTTAAACTATTAGATTTTGACAGCTAAGTCATACAATTCAGTTTCCCTGTTTGGACAGCAAAAATTCATCAGCGTACTTAGTAAGTTCATCTATGCAACACAATAATTTAAGGAGTTTCTAAGGACTAATTTAGAAATCTAAGTAGTTCCTAGTACTCCTTGGAGACTTTTTTATTTCCAAGGAGTTTCTAAGGAGTATAAGGAGTCTGTACGCACCCTGGGGGTTGTAGTAGTTATCAACCACATCAACCGTCCACTATGAAAAGGTACTCCCTCATAGAATAGAGTTAACATGTCTTATATACTAGTGAATTGGTATTGTATTTTTGTAGTGGTAGATACACTACACAGATAAAATCATTGCATTAAGTCTGCATTCAGCTATAGTCAGCAGACAGATGATAAAATAAGCTAAAAATTCTAAAAAAAGAAAGAAAAAAGCTATAACTGAATCACCTGTGACACTTTAACAAGAATACTTACATTAGCAACAAGGGTTGATAGTGCATGTGCTAAGCTCAAAGGGAGAATTTCTGGATCAGTACCTTCAAAGGAAGCAACAAGCAACTTTAAACCCCCTTTATCACTAAAGAAACACACATTTCGAAACAAGTAGACAGGAATTTCCATTTCCTAAAAGCAAAACATCATTAATAAGAGATAATGGCGATAGGAAAAAATTTTTGGAAATATCAAATTCTTTTTAAATCAGAAAAAAAAATTAATTCCAAGGTAATAGGATGATATATACTACATTAAGTTCAGCACTTATATTTTCAAAACAAAAATTAACTTTAAGACATGAAACAACCAAAGAGAAAAACATTAAAATAATGTAAATGGCAAAGCTGCCAACATAGATAGGAAAAATTCCAATAGATTTTAGAAATACAAATATCATGGTAATTGTTGCATAATAAACTAAATATTTATCATATAGGGAATTTCAGGGATTTTTATAGTCATCAAAACAGAAAAACTGCAATATTTTCCAGTTATGATAGGCATTAAACATAACTTGAAATGTTATGTATTGTGTTTACTCATAATTTCGAATATTAATACGCATTTAATTCATCAAAGATAATTATAAGAATTTTTTTAAATTTAAAAAGAGAGTTCTGAATAAAAATAAACTGAACATTTTAGAAGAAAAAAAGTTTTGAACTGATTTATATAAATGAGGTTTACTTCATTATGTATTAGCAATACTTATTTAAATATTTAAGCAAGCAATAACCTGTACAAAAATTCTATTTCAATAGGGATTTTTTTAAGAAACTTACTCAATCTAGGGAATTTTCTAAAATATACAAAAACTATGACAATTTTAAATAAATCAGTAGACTAGGAGAAACTGACAAAATCTAGTAGAGTTGGCAGCTATGCTCTTTGTATTGAAAATTAAAAGTGGGGAGAATAACACGCACTACAATAAGTTTAACATTTTACTTATATTTTCGAAACAAAAATTAACTTTAAGGCAGAAAACAATCACAGAGAAAAAGATTAAAATATGTAAATAAGATTCCAAATTGAAAAACAATTTTTAAAAACAAGAAGAAACTACAGCTTCAGAAAAATTTCAAATCCTGCATATACTATAACTTTTATTAAGCTATGTTTATTCATTTCCAGCTTATTCACATATTAATCATTTCCTTTTTTAAAGCATTCGTTCTTCTATTTTGAAAGAAAAAGTTTAAACAAAATTTAAAAATCCGGCTGTAATTTTACCCAAAAGAAGCAAACTAAAGAGTAAGATCTATGAATTTAAATCTTGTTACAGACATTTTGACTTCGATAATTAGTAAAATCACTGGATGTTTAGTTAAATATTTCCACAAAAAATAAGCACATTTTAAGAATTCAAAAAATATTTTTAAGCACTATTTATAATAACAAAATGCAAAATGATTTTCAAAGACTTTACATGAGCATGATAAAATAACCACTTTCTGACAAAGAACTCTTTTTCTTGATTATATTAGCAATCATAAAAAGATCAAGAGATTATTCGGCGCGATATCAGAAGGTGTAAAATGAGCACTGGAATTAAGAATATCTTACAAAATGCAGCAGAGTTGCACGAATCTCTCCGAATTCAGCTCTATAGACGCATATTTGAACTCGCAAGTATTTCATCAAATGATTGGTGTTTTCATACGCTATGCACCAGCAGAACACCAAAATAGACTATGGTTGAATGAATTGTGACAATGCTGAATATAGCAAACCACTATATTGCATAATATGCGACGAAAATTTCCAAAATGGGAAATACGGAAAAATGGAGCATCAATAAATTATAAATAATCTAAATTTTAAGTATTTTCACATTTTAATTTTAATTTGTTTTTAAATAAGTTATTTTTTAAATTATTTTGATTTTCTGCAGAGGGGATGGCACCCCTTCTTCGGCAGTCCGACGACCTGCATGAGAAGTCGAGCACTTAACGGTAGAACAGTTTAGCGAGGACCAATACCGCACACCTTCGGTCTCCACTGGTCACCCACCCGCACATTGATCATAGCCTGTGATGCTTGACTTTGGCGATCTGCTTAACGATCAGTTCACTGCGGGACTCTGGGAGAGCAATTTAATGTAATTTTGAATTTTGTAATTGAAAATCTTGTCTTTGAAACATTATAAAAATTAAACAAATCAAAGGTTGTTTTCGTTTAAATTATTTACCAATGTTACGAACTTCAAATTGCAAGTTTCATACTTTAAAGTTAATGCAATAAATCCATATAAATATATTTTATAATCATATGTTTGTATAAATACATTGAATTGTAAGATTTAAATGAAAAAACTAAAATTTAAAATTAAATGACTGTAAATATATAGTAAGACATTAAAATTTTTCAGGCAATTAAGCCACATTGTATGTTTGGGTATGTGACATATTTCAGAAAAATTGATTTTCTTTTTTTTGACTGTTTAATTTTGTTCTTCATATTATTATAAAAGTTAGAAAATAGTTTTTTATTACAAAAATAAAATTTTGAATGTAATAACTTCTGTATTTATAATTTTTATATACACATAAAAAGTAATGGATTACACACACATCTTATTCAACTAGAGCAAATTTAATGAAATTATGAAGCAAAATATAATATAATATAAAAACACAATAATATGATGCTCAATACATTAATTTTACAAATCTTTTACAGTATAGTATATCCCAAACCCCCACCCACAATTCCCTCCCTCGACTGAAGTCGTAATCGGTGAAAAACTAGGACCACTAATGCCATCTATTAGGAAAATAGTTAATTAAGTATCCTAAAGTAGAAATGAACTCAGCTCGGGCTTTACAAAAAAGAAACGTTATTTTTCTCCTGCCTGAAGTCAAGTGGGGCAGCACAAATAATGCACGTGGTAGTTGCCCGAACTGGCCGAGCAGTTGCCGTTAAAAATAAATACTAAAATGAGCAGAAAGGGATACAAAATGCCTGATCTTTTCCTCTATTTAAAAGAAAGAACAGCCTCCTGTTCTACAAAAAAAAAATGGCACTTACTCCCTTGAAATGGAAGGGAAATGTAACAAAAATAATCTTTTATTATTAATGAATACTAATAAAAGATTTAAAACATCCTCCAGTTAAATCAAAAATCTGAAGAAAAAAAAACATTTTACCAGCTATCAACATGGGAAACATAAACTTTGTTGGAAAAACATCAAAATTCTATTTGAAAAAATATTTAGCAAATATAATCTTATATAGTATTCTTGTAGTGGTAGACACACCATAAACTTCTTTCATAAAATATTACATTTGGTATATATGCTCAGTTGGAGAATCAAGGTGAGACATTAACAACCAAACTCAAATCAACAATTATAAAACATGAAACAAATCACAATATTTCAAAATTAGACTTATATAATGAATAAAAATTGTTTCAGTCAAAACATCAATTTAAACTATTTAAAAGAGATAAAATATATATATATCTATACTTACATCCAATTTTGATTGCATACTATGTTTAAAAGCAACATATAAAGGAAAATTAAGGAGAAAAACCTTAGAGAAAATGCAAATATATTTTTCTTTCTCTTCTAAACTCAGCACATCTTTCGTAGTAGAGTCTTTGTTTACTAACGCTTTCTTTGATTCTTTTTCCGTTTCCTGTAAGGAACTAAGTTTAACTTTTTCTTTTGAGTCTTTCTCATTATTTTTCCCATCAGACTTTTTATGTTCACTAGATATTGCGTCATTGGGGTGAGGTTCTGAATATTTCAAAGATTTAACATCTTTGACAATCTGTTGCAGTATTTCAATAATGTTCAAAATAAATCCTTGCACTACCGAATTGAATCTATCAAAGTTTTTAGGGTCCTTGAAACAACATGTGCATTGCCTGAAATAGGAAAAAAAAACTCTTTTAGCACACTCTGATAGATGATATATTGTTAGAATTTACAACCCAATGGCAGAATTTTCTCGAGCTATCTGCGACAAAACTCTCTATCACTGATATCTTTCTGTAAGATACTTTTTAATAATAACAGACATATATGTTACTAATTTAAAATAACAAAAAAAGTTATGTGTGTGTTAAGATAACAAAAATTTCTGTAAAATGTGATTACAAAAAAAAAACTATATATATTTTTATTTAATTGAACATGTAATATTCAGGGGTGATTGTGAGCCTAACTCAAAAATCCAGAAAATTTCTCGAGTAAAATCATTGATGACGCATTTCAAAAAATTAATATCATTATAAATTTAAATTATTGATATTTTCAAAACATGACATTCTAAATGAATTATATTCAACATAATTTAAATTAATAATTATGTATAAGTTTACTTTTATCTTTCATCACATTTATTATTCTATCAGAAAAAATATTTACAAATGAATGAGATGCCAAGCATAAATTTTAGTTCTAATATTTTTAAATAAAATATACAAGAATTTTTATACATAAATGTGATCAATGATTTCCGGAACCTTCCTGATCTCGTTTAGTGAAAAATCCGGATTTCCGGAGTACAATCATCTCTGAATATTCTAATATAGGTGATATTCTCGCATTTTGCTAAGGAGAGAACGCACAAATTATCTCCTTCTTCACATTTTGTAAATAATCATCACTATAAAAAACATAATCAAAAATCATGAAATCCGTAGTAGTACTAATTGCCGAAAAAAAGATTGACGACGAAATCATGCGAATCGGACTCCTCAAATACGTGTTTCATTTCGAGATTAGGTTGTTGTAATAAATCAGGGGTTTCCAACTTACATGAGACCGAAGGCCACAATTAAAAACACAAATCAAATGACGGGCTGCAAGTTTATCAAAATTTCATGTAGGACTCTTTTATGTTTGATGGAATATTAAATATTACTGTCAGATTTTTACCAAGTTGTACAAAACAAAAGTATTGACAAAAAGTATTGAATAAAAGTAAATTAAAATAAGAAATAGATTTTTAAAAATATTTAATTGCATATTAAAAAATTTAGGCTGCAAGAACTTTAACGTGCACCCATGTATTAAACAATTAATGTGCAACAGATTCATTTGCAATTGTTAAGATATAAAACTTTGAAAAGGTTGGTATTAAAACTTACATAGTAGCACACAAAATGTTCAAAGACAAAATTGAAGTTTGTCTGCTGCAACCAAAAGAGAACAGATATTTACATTTTAAAAATACAAATGTGTGTGTAAATATTTTCGTCCAAAATGAGTGGTTTCAAAAAGTTAAATCGGAGAATTTCTTCGAGAAAATTTCTGATACACACATGCTTAATTATATTCACAAAATACAAAAAAAAAAGAAAGAAAAGAAATTTAAAAAAAAGAGCAACATACACGATTATTTTTGTATCTGAATAAATATTTTCTTCGATGCAAAACCTGAGAAAAAAAATTTTTTTTGCACCATTGGTATCATAAATCTCACAGAAACGAAGAAATTAGGTTTTCATTAATGAGAAAAGTATTTTAAACCCATATAGATTTTTTATGAAAATTGTCGGCAAAAAAATGACAACTAATAAATTTTAGTTCGCAGGCCACAAAAAAAGGCAACGTGGGCTGGATGCGGTCCCGGGCAGCCAGTTGGAAACCACTGTAATAAATAATATCGTGTAAAAATATTGAATTTAAAAACTATGGAGAAATCAATAGCGATAACTATCAAAAATTCGATAAAATTATTGCTGTAAAAAGTAAATACTCAAATGCACGACTCGAATTTTCCATATTGTTTGAAATATATCAGGATATTTCAAATCCACAAGAAAATCAATATCTATAACTGCCAAAAATACAATCAAAACATTACACCGATTTACGATACTATCAACCTAAATTGAGCATGTCAAAAAAAATAATAAATATCTAAATGCATTATTAAAATATTACGTGTAAATTACTGTAGAAAAAAAAATTTATTTTTTGTTACCTCTCAAAAAAAAAAAAAAAAAAAAAAAAAAAAAAAAAAAAAAAAAAAAAAAAAAAAANAAAAAAAAAAAAAACTTTCTGCAAAAACTTCGTTACGACTATGTCACTGCAATTCTGTCACAGGAACCACACTTCTATTCATATTTCCAGAGAAATAAACTTTAATATTAAACCATTTCCTTCATCAAAAGTAACAAATGAGGAAGGCACAAAAAGATAAATGATGATACCTTTGAATCCAATTCTGAAGAAATGTACAGAAATGGTTCATTTCCTGTCTAGATAGGACTCGCAATTCTCCTTTTTTAACTTCATTTTCATCTGCAATATAAATATTAAATACATTAAATATATTACAAATTTTACACATAAAAGAATTTGCAACACATGTCAAACAATCAAGACGATAGAAATGCAGGGTTGGGTTTATGACATCAGAAACCTGTGGAAAAGTGTCAAAAAACCTAGAGCTAGTTTCTTTTTTGTCATTGGATTAGTCTGCCATTGGAGGGCCAGTTTCTTTTTTGTCATTTATAAAACATTAAATCTGTTACAATACTTGCATTATATAACGCTATAATTATGATTTATATTATTATAAAATATAGCCAAAATTATTGAAGCTGTGAATTATCCAAATTTTTTTACAAATTATAAACCCCTGTAGCAAAATTTTTTCGAGCTATCTGCAACGAAACTCTTTAGCACTAATATCTTTCTGCAAGATACTCTTAACAAATATCTGTGCTATAAATTTAAAATAACAAAAGCGCTATGTTTACAAAAAAAAAAACTATATCTTTTTTAATAAAGCAGTTAATAATTTTTTATTGTAATATTATGGGTGACATTCTCACATTTTGTAAATAATCATTACTATAACAAAGATAATAATGAAATTGGTAGTAGTAATTATCACAAAAACATTGACGACGAAACCACACGAATAGGGCTCCTCAAATTCTTGTTTCATTTCTAGATTAGGTTGCTGTAATAAATAATACAGCACAAAAAATATTGTGTGAAGTAAGTTTTCGGACATGATGTCACTTCAGCTTCGTAAAGCAATCAAAAGAGAAATGTACTAAGGAAATTTGTCAGTTAAATATTACTGAGCACTTTCTTTTTGCACATCAGACAAGCCTTCTCCATTATATTTAGGGTTTAATAAATAGGCAAAGTAATGAAATGAAATACTTCATTGCTTGAGCCATTCGCTTTGAAACTTCTTGAAGACGGAGTTGTAAATTGTCTTCTTTAATAGGCGTTTACAAGCATGGCATACTTCATCTAAAATTACAGTGTCACTTTGCAATCGCTCTAGTGCATCACCAATGGGTTATAGTTGCAACATTAAATCTTTAGATTAATTCAACAAATTGAAATTATTTATAAGATTTGCTATGTTCCTATCAATGAGATGCTCATTTTCCTCAATTATATGCTGATAGGCTTGACTTTTTTTCTAATAAGTCTCAATACAAGCCAACTGGCTCTTCAAAATTGTATCCCCTGGCAGTTGCGGTTTCACTATATTTGGTATTTCTTTCAACAATGCACTTGGTATGTGATGATTTCGAAAAAATTTCTGAACTTTCATTAAAAATAATTCTTTTTTTAAATAGATGTCTTTTTTATCATCCTGTGATGCAGAAATTATAACATTTTTAAAAAAAAAATATTGTGAAAAATAAACGGTTAACTTTAAACAACCTTATTATTTATTTTTTTTAAATTATTATTATTTTTAATATTGCATTATCTATCCTTATGCAAAAACATAATTTATCAGTATTAAAAGCATATTTATATTTAAAGGATAAGGTATTCACTTTTGTTGTTCGATGAATTGTAGAGCTTCAAAAATTATAAACATTTTCCTATTCTATTACATTATTTTCCTTTAGTAAGTTGAAGTAAATTGCATAAAAAATATCAAATATTTATTGATATATGTAATTATTATCTGTACAATGGTTACACATATAGAATTTTTACCTTTTACCAAAGTTCACTTTTTACCAAAGTTCAAGGTTTTGGACACCTTAAGACAGTTAAGGACAGTAAAACCCACGTGTCTTGTCCTGTACGTGTGTTTTACTTAGTCCTATGTCAGTATTGTTTTGGGCTTTCTGCGATATATTTCTCTAATGCTTATATCGTTCTAGGAGATACTTTAAAAAATAGCAAATATACATGCTACTAATTTAAAGTAACAGAAAAGTCAACTTCAAAATAATAATAATTATAACTTTTTGGTTAAAATAAAATATATAACTTGAATACATAAAATTTTTTTTGTTCAACATTATGATCAATATTCTCACATTTTGTGGGATGGGGGGGGGCATTCTAATTATTTCTTTTTTCGCATTCTGTAAATAGTCTCATTGAAAAAATAATTTTTAAAAAATCGTGAAAACCGTAGTAACTAATGATAAAATAGATCAATGATGAAATCATGCAAGTCGGACTCTTTGAAAGGGAGTTACTAAATGCGTGTTCAGGGGTCTGTCCAAACCAAATTTACTACCGTTTAGCGGTACCTTCACAAAATACTTTTTCCTTAAATTTTATTTTTGTGTTGGTTCTTTAATATAATTTCTAATTTTCACAAAATAGGTACCTTGGGACAAATAACAAGGTAACTAAAAAAAATTTTAAAATTTTTTCTATGACAGATACAAAATCAAAACCTAGTTAAAAATGTTTTCAAATGTTACAAGAATACCAGGTAAAATTTTGACAATAATTGATCAAAATAAAAAAAATTGATCAAAATAATAAAAAATGAAAATAAAAAAGTGTCTCAAGGTTAGCCACTCTCCCCTAATAACTACATAAAAAATAGAATGAAAATTTCTTCAGAAAAGAAAATCAAACTTTTTGACTTCCCAAGGAAAACTCTTTCTGCAAGAAGCAAACGTTTTCAACAATGTTGCCACGATTCAGCCACAGGGAGTATTAGCTGAGCTAATCACTGATTTAAAGAAAAATATTTAATATTCTAATTTTTCCTTATAATAAAGTTCTTTGTGGCATTGTAAATCTACTATGTAACAATTAAGTATGAAGATTATTTCTTATTTAATGGTAAACAGGACATGCTTGCTAAATAAAAATCTATATTTTCTCATTTATTTTATCAAAAAATATGTACAAAAAATAATAGTTATACTCAAAAAATGTTTCAATAAAATTCTTTTTAGCTTATCAATATGTTCATAAAATCATTATGACTATTTATTCTTAACTATAAGTAGTTTTCCTTTCGTAATCTTCCACATATTTATGGTTTTTATAGAGCAAAGCTAATCTAATTTAAAATCATAGTGTTACTTCCATAAAAATTAATTTGCATTAGTCATAACTATTAGAAGTCACAGTCTTTAAAAAGTGAATCTTTTCAAAAACGTCATAATTCACGGAACATAGATTTAAAAAAAAACTTCTTTTAATAAATTCTGAAATAATTCACTGAAATACGTATTAAACTAATTGGCCACTAGGCAATTTTGATATTTGTATCAGTCACATCCTTAACAATCAAATTTTTTTAAATAATTTCAAATTTATAAATATTAAAAAGATTTAGAACAAGTTGTGGAAGACCTGAAGATTTATCACCACAAATAAAATTTGAGGATTTTTAATAAGTTATATACATTCAAAATCTATATCATAAAATAATAATTCAATTTATCAATTCCCAAATCAATAATATTAAAATTTATATATAATTATTCTTTCAAAATATACAAAAAAAAAATTATATTAAAATAGTTACAATATGAAGATAACTCTTTATCCGAAATATTGAGGAAGTTGCTACAAATAACTTGAAATAACATCATAGATTGATTTCTTTTTTGTCTTCTCTTAAATCAAAAAGGCTGTGGCTTCCCTACACTAATTTAACTCTTCATTGAAGCAGAGCAGTTGTAAATACATTATGCTTAGCATAGCATTTAATACTGAAAAAAGCGAACTACATAATTAAATATTAAATAAGAATTATTTTAAATCTTATTGATACATAATCGATCAACAATGTAATGCTAGTTTAATAAATCAATCGAACAACCAGGATAAAAGCTGAAAATTAAAAAATATTTACATAAATATCTGAGATCTCAATATATGCGTTAGATTATTTTCATAAATTTTATGATATTTTTGCATCACAACCCTATGTAACTGAACGCTAACGATAAATACGATTATTTTAGCACAAATAAAGAAAGTCATAACTAAATATAAATTCAATATTTACAAAATAAACTTAAAAACATACATCTTTGGAGCAGTTCGAGAACGTCTGCACAAATATCACACATTTCCAAAGTGAAAAACAGAACATTTGGAAATGCCTTTTATAGTTAAAAGTTACTTAAATTAACAAAAAAAAAATTTAAAAAAAAACCTTGAAAATTCATAACTTTAAAAAGAGTAAACATTAAATACAGGAACATTTCTGCTCAAGACCGCCATGATGCCGCTTGAAACACAAATTGATGCCACGCAAATAATTCCTCACTGAAAATTAATTCTTAAAACAATGTGTATTAAGCTTATAGCTTACAAGCTTGCATACAGAAATTTAGTTTCGTTTTCACTTTCGCTGATGGAAAACCTGCATTCGTAAGATAATCGCGTAATGTTGATTATTTTCCATTGCGCATAATTTAAAACTCTCAAATATTAACTCAGCATGTTCAAAATTAACCTGAATAACTTTAAGTTAGATTAAAATAAAACTAACTTCAAGTTACTAGTCCCGCAGTGGACTGATCGTTAAGACGCGGTTCCCAGCATATCACCGAAGTCAAACATCACTGCCTTCGGTCATTGGGCGGGTGGGTGATAACTTGGATTAGTCTGCGTAGGGACAGAGGGTGTGCGGTATTAGTCCTCGCTAAACTGTTCTACCGTTAAGTGCTCGACTTCACGTGCTGGTCGTCGGGCTACATAAGCGGGGTGCCATCCCCTCTGCAGAGGTTCAAAATTGTGATGGTCATCGGATCATCCTCAAGGATGTTTCCCAGATCGTCGCCAATAGCCCATTGTGCAAGCTCTAGTACGACGTAAATTAACTGCAACAATAACAACAATCAAGTGACTCAAAAAGAGGCGGAGATTGCTTATGACATCAGAATCCACTCCTTCAACAAAAAAAAATTTTGTCATTCAGAAGTGTTATAAGTAAACTGGTTTAGATTTAGAAATATGAACTATTTTTAAACTTTTCACTTAAAGGTTTGATCCCAGATAGGAAACAGACTTGGCGTGTTTCAGTGGATAGGTTTAGGCGTGGATAAGTGGTAAGAGCAGAGCTCGCGTAAGATTTGTTGAGAGTGCTGACGCGGGTTCAAACCCTGGCTGTGATCAATTTTTAAATTTTTATTTTTATTTTTTTTTATTTTATCTTAGATTATTTTCTCATGTGTTTTTTCAATATTTTAAAGGGTTCTATAAACAAAATTAAAAAAATTTTCCATCGGGAAAATGCGAATAATGCGCAAAAATGGAGTAAAAACACTGGATAAATCATTTATTTTATTTTGTTTTAACTTCTTTATTCAATACTTTCCATATTGGAGCTTTGTTAAAGATGCGAATAATGTATATAATGGTAGAAAAAGGAATCCAAGAGGAGAGGGAGATATAGGAGCATCCTAATTATAAAGGGTTTTAGAACGCGAATTTCCTCATTTTAAAGCTTTACGCAACTCTATTTTAGATATACATACACAGTAAACTTTAGGGTAACGTTGTGTATACCCTATGGAGTCTATAATTATTTCCTCTGGTAGGGTACACTATACCTAGGTAATATAAAACATGTCCCAATTAAAATATTATAGGTTAATATTGGGCAGATATCGTGCCGTTTGTTAACCCTCCGAACACTTATTTTAGATACGCATACATAGTAAAATACAGGGCCACATTGTGTACCCCCTAATTGACCTATAATTATTTCCTCTGGTAGGGTACACTCTTACCCGGTATAACACATGATCCAATTAAAATATTAAGGGTCAATAATAAGGTCTGATATCGCGCCTTGCGTTAGTTAACATTGAAAAATGTCTTTCAATTTTTTGTTTTGATATTGAGGCAGGCTACTCGTGTTCTAGTGGTATGATGGTCAAGACACCGGACTAGTAACTGACGGCTGGGGCGAGGGGGCACAAGTTCAAATCCCAGCTTTATCAACTTTTCAAAAAGATTTCTTTTTTTTTCTTCTGATTATTTTGCATTAGATTATTTTTTCAATGTGTTTTTCCACATTTCAGAGGGTCTTACGTATAGGAAATAATTTTTTTAAATTGGTAAAATGGTGAATAATGTGTAAAAACTGGAAAAATCCAGGAAAATTGGCTTATTTCCATTGTTTTAAATTATTTTTACAATATATTCAAGAGTTTCTCATGCGAAAGTTGTTCTATTAGTAAAATTGAGCATCTTTCTCTGTTTAAGAACGCATACTGGAATAATAATAAAAATATACTAAATAAAAAAAAATGTCGGGGTGGGGTTCGAATTTCGAAGCCATCTAACTCCATTTAATATTAAGTTATAATTTTTAAACTCGGACCCTAAGTAGGGGTCTATGGTCCAAGCATATCTGCTGCAGGAAATTTTTATAGGTGAATTAGCGAGTGCAGGGGGGCCCTCAAAGTTCTAGTGCATAGCTGTCAGTGAGAGGACTTTTGAAGAGATATTGTGGCAGGCTTCTCGTGTTCTAGTGGTATGATGGTCAAGACACTGGACTAGTAACTGACGGCTGGGGCGAGGGGGCGCAAGTTCGAATCCCAGCATTTTCAACTTTTCACAAAAAAATTTCTTTTTTTTCTCTTCCGATTACTTCGCATTATATTATTTTTTTCAATGTGTTTTTCCACATTTTAGTGGGTCCTACATATAGGAAATAATTTTTTTAAATTGGTAAAATGGCGAATAATGAATAAAAACAGGAAAAATCCAGGAAAATTGGCTTATTTCCATTGTTTAAATTATTTTTACAATATATTCGTCAGTTTCTCATGCGTAAGGTGCTCTATGAGTAAAATTGTGCATCTTTCTTTGTTAAAGAACGCATAATGGAATAATAATAAAAAAATAAAAAATGAAATAAATTGGCGGGCTGGGGTTCGAATTTCGAAAACGTCTAACTCTCTTTAATATTAAGTTATAATTTTCAAACTCGAACCCTAAGTAGGGGTCAATGGTCGAAACATGTCCGCTGGAGCAAATTTTTATAGGGTAATTAGGGGGTGCAGGAGGCCCCTCAAAGGTCTATGGCATAGCTGACCGTCAGAGGGCTTTTGAAGCGAAATCGTGACCAGCTTAAAGTGTTCGAGTAGTCTGGTGGTCAAGACACCGGAGTAGGAACTGACGGCTGGGGAGAGGGGACACAGGTTCGAATCCCAGCTTTATATGACCGTCAGAGGGCTTTTGAAGCGAAATTGTAACTGGCTTCTAGTGTTCGAGTGGTCTGGTGGTCAAGACACCGGACTAGTGACTGACGGCTGGTACGAGGGGGCAGAGGATCGAATCCCAGCTTTATGAACTTTTCAAAAAAATTTCTTTTTTATTTCTTTCGCCTATTTTGCATAATTTTATTTTTTTAATGTATTTTCCTATATTTTAGAGGGTCCTACACATAGAAAATAAATTTTTTAAATTGGTAAAATGGCGAATAATCTGTAAAAACTGGAAAAATCCGGAAAAATTGGCTTATTTCCATTGTTATAAATTATTTTTACAATATATTCGACAGCTTCTCATGCGTAAGGTGTTCTTTGAGTAAAATTGTGCATCTTTCTTTGTTAAAGAAAGCATAATGGAATAATAATAAAAATATAATAAAGAAAATAAAATGTGGGGGTGGGGTTCGAATTTCGAAGCCGTCTAACTCCCTTTAATATTAAGTTGTAATTTCTAAACTCGGACCCTAAATAGATACTTAGTAGGGGTCCAAACTCGGACGTTATAAAATAATCTTAGTATTTCTTGAGGAATTCATAAAAATGTCAAAATCTTAAAGTGTCTTTCCCATTGTTGAAAGGTAGTGTGTATTATTGTTACACAAAAGTTGTATTCGCTGTTACATAATTACTCGCACAAACATGCGGAAGTAGAGCGTCTATCAATAATCCACAGTAAAACATTCTTATGTCTTAAAACTATTTCAAAGTCACATTAAATTAATTTTGATAGACTATAATCAAATGATCACTGACAAAGTGTCCATCCTACTGGAATTTCAGCAAGGAAATTCTAATGCACGAAATATTCGTAAGTCTTAAAAATAGTCTTGATTGTATGCAGATACTGTAATTTTTTTCAATTTTTATCTGATTTAATTGTATAATCAATAATCTGAAGAATATGTAAGCAACTACTGTTAATTCCATTGTGCATAGGATTAATATTTTTTCCCCTTCAAGTTTAGAGTATTTGGTTAATTTGGCTTAAAAGTATGATACTTTATGCGACAATTAAACAGTGTGACGACTTTTATTAAGCTAAAGGGAAAAAAAAAAGAAAAAGACATAGGGTGCTCTGTTGCTTACACGAACTTTAATTATCCGCTATACGGGTTTGAAGTCAAAAAGACACAAAAAAAATGAACTTAGGGGAGAGTCGGGTAGCCCCGCAAATTTGAAAATAATCTCTTTTTAATATAATAATTAATGTCCGATGGCACATTGACTTGAGAAAATATTCTATACATATGAAATTGACGTTGGGCGGGGGTACCCGCTGGGCGGAGCTACCCGACTCTCCCCTACAGTAGATTTTTGTCCTGTGTTTCATCTTCATTCTAAATAAAAATTTACAGTAAAATTGAACATAATAAAGTGAATATCGTCATGTCTAAGAGAAATGTTTTTGCATCACTCTAAGAGTGTTTTTAATTCATTTATGTTCGGTGGTGCATTGCATTCATCCAAAGGTTGTAATGGGTTATTTAAGAATTTTTTTTTTTTCAATTACAGAATCTGAATTTATAATTTGATGTCATTTTGTTGACACATTATATTTAGGAGGTCTTTTAGGTTTAGCTGCAGCAAATGTTTCTTGTTCGAGTCTTTTTAAAAGAAATTAAATTTTTAAGTGTTGGTGTGCGAAGAAACTCTCTCCAACCATGCTTCTGCGTGGCGGCATTCCTTCATGACTTGTTTTGGGTTTTGAGTCACTTCTTCAGAGGCATTTTTATTTCGTTAAATGCAACAGTTAATCTTAAGATGTGACAAGTTCGGTTGAGATGGCTATTAATATAGGATCACGCTTCTTTTCTTTTTTACTTACATGCATTTCTTAAAAGAGGGATTCTATAATTCAACAATTAAGTACACTGTAAAAAAAAACTCGGTAAATGTTTACCCAATCTTTGGTGCAAAGTTGCTAATTGCACCCTAAATAGGTTTAATGAAAACTTGTTTTATTTAGGTTGCACCATAAATTGGTAAATATGATCGAGAAATACATTCATGGCGCAATCGATTGCATCAAA